CCCATCCATCGGAATTGCCTACATCTCCTCACTGTTGGGAATAACTATTATAGTGTTTAGTTCTCGTCCGTAAAAAGTTTTTATTATTTAGTCTTTAATTTAAATCAAACCACACTCTTCATCATTCTCTTCCTCCTCATCAAGACTGCGTGTGAGAGAGAGATAGATAAGAGAGAGAAGAAACTGCAATTTGATGACTGATTGTCGCCACAAAAAAACAAACAAATCATCGGAAGACTTCTCTCCAATCAATTAATTAACTTATCATTTGTTGGTTTGAAGTTCAAAAATGATTATCTGATATATAATTTATTATTAGTTTATTTATTTTATTTATCAACTATTTTATATTTACCGTAAAACAAAACAAAAAAGTGAGAATCACTCGATGAAATTGCAAGTACCGTATTCTCTCTCCCACTTAATAATGATAATATTAATCTTAATTTTTTTTTAAAAAAATAATAACAAACAAAAAAACTTATGAACTATTATTTTACACATTTGCATAAAACTAATTGAATGCAATTGATTTCATTGATTGAATTCATTAATGAGAAATGATAAGCGAATTATTATGGGGTTCCAGTGGATTAAATGTGTAAATAGTTTTTTTTAATAATAATAATTTTATACTCAATCAAGTGATTTTAAAAAACAAACAAATAGTGACTCTCTTTTCACTAATTGAAAACATCATGTTTTTTGGGGGCGTTAAATAGCTTAAAATTTATATATAACAATCATTCAATCCGATTGACTATTATATATACATTTAAAGCTATTTAATGTGTGTTAATTGTGATTAAGATTGGCTTAATTTTGTCTCTGTGTATATATATATATGTATATGTGTTTGAGCACATCAATCATGATTTGTGAAAAAATATCAATTTGTATTTTGTTTAAAACAAAATACAATTAAAAGAAAAAATTAAGTAACAATTTAAGCAAATATTTGTTTGGGGTTTTTGTTTTTAGCGAAAAGAGTTGCCATAAAAATAATGACAAACAAAATGTCTTATCAATCAATCAATGAATATCTTAGAAAATATAGTCAACGATTGAGTTAATAATAATTAATAAATTTAGTGTAATTTTTTTCTATCGACATGTGCCTCAAATTCAACACTGATATCTAAACTGGTTGTGTGTGTGTCTGTTTGACATACCAGTGCCCCCCTATCTGGTGTTTGAATCAATTATATATATATATATATATATAATACATACATTTTAATAATATTATAGCAAAACATACCATACCATACCATAACAGACCTCTTAATTAAGTAATTAATTAATTGCAATTCATATGCATTGATCTCTTATTACAAATAGTCACTCATTTAAAAACTCATCACAAAAACCACATACAACCAAAACAAACATTCATTTTCATTATACAACTCATAAAACAAAAAAAAAGTTTTTTGTTTAGGTATTTAATCTTAATTAAATTATTATTATTATTTTGGACTCATTTTATTTTTAATTTCTCTAATTTAATTTTTTTTTATTAAAATTTAATTATATGTAAAATAAGTTTTCTTCATAAAAACACCATTTAATCAATTGTTAGCCAATTATTATTTATAATTTTTTTTAGGTTTGAATAAACAAACAAAAAAAAGTATAGGTTTTGTCAGTCAGTCAGTCATTAGGTGTGTTTTCTTAGATTTTCATATCCTCTCAATAAAATCCCTGTTTTTTTTTAATTATTGTAAACAATTATAACCGACTGAAACATAAATATACAATAAAACAAAACAAAAATTGTATGTTTTAACAAATGTCAGAAAGTTTCTTAACAAATATACAGTACCAGTAGTAGAATGATATATATATATATATATATATATATATATATATATATATATATATATATATATATCTCTCTCTCTCTCTCTCTCTCTCTCTCTTTCTGACATTACTGTGCCTCTCGATTCTGTCCAGATTTTTCTCGGGATTTTACAACAAAACACACACAAAAAATAACAAACAAACGAATAGTTGGGAAATGTCCTAAACATATATATATATATATATATATGAATATCTATATATATATATATATGAATATCTATATATATATATATATGAATATCTATATATATATATATATGAATATCTATATATATATATATATATATATATATATATGAATATCTATATATATATATGAATATCTATATATATATATATATATATATATGAATATCTATATATATTTATATATATATGTATATCTATATATATTTATATATATATAGCGCTAATCGATTGTTTTAAAAATTGTATTAAATTGTATTTAAAAAAAAATTAAGAAAAGACTATTTAAAAATTTTTGAAAATATTGTAAAAAATACTGTATAAAAAAAGTATAGAAATGTAATGAGTATTCAATTTATTTACTACTACTACTTCTTAATTAATTTTTTCTTAATTGTGTATAATTGAGATATATATATGTATTTGATAGCCTACATGAGCTGCAAACAAGCCGTACCACTGCCACAATGGGTCCGACACTTTGTACTTTACATACAAACAAACAAAAAAGTAGTGAAAAAGTTTTCAAAAATGTGTTGTTCACCACATTATGATTAAAGATTAATGTATACAGTAATGTATAGATAGATGTTTTAAAAAAAAAAATTAAACAAAAACATTGATTAAATGCTTTTTGTAAATTTTGTCACTAATTTTTTATCAATTAGTGAATTAATAAGTTTTTTATAATGGTTTTTTTTATTAATATTTTGTAACGGGATTTTTAAATAGTGTTTTTATTTGGTCTGTAAAAAATGTGTAATTGAAACGATACAAACAAAACAAATGGGTTTTTTTTAAATAGTAAATGTCTACCAATTTTTTTATTTAAATGTATGTAACCCTATGTATGTATATGTATTTGTGTGTTTGTGGATATGATCTACAACAATTAAATAATTAATTTTTTTTTAATTAGATTAATTTCCAATTTTTTAGTAATATTAATTTTTTTTTTGATAATTTTTCATCAATAATTATTGCTCATTTTTTTTAATTTAATTAATTAATTAATTCAATTGTAATATGAAATCACTTTTTTTGTACGAATCAAATAAATAAGAAATTTGAAAACAAAACATTGAATTTTTAATAATTTTTATTAATTTATTTTATTTCTATTATATAATTATTATCCCCTAAAAGTCATAATCATTTTTTAAATTGTTTTTACATTTTTTTGTTTTAAATTTGAAGCAAACAATCAATTGATTTATTTATTGGCAAAGTCTTCACCCTTTTTGATACTATCCTTCAGTTCTTTGATGGCATTCTTTACCAGATTTTGTTCGAAATCCGATAGCTTTCCTAATCCAAGATTTTTTTCGACACCATTTTTCTAAGTAATAATAATACGGTTAATAAATGAAGAATCATATCGAAGAAGAAGAAGAAGAAAAAGATGAATAAAACACTTACGCCTAACACAAGTGGTGTCGAGAAATAAGAGGCTTCGGTAACGTCTGACTTAACGAAAGCGCATTCAATCACTTCTTTGCCGTTTAATGCTTCCAAAAGCTATTGTAACCAACAAACAAACAAAAAAACTTATGGTTAGATCCACTTATATTTTTTATTTACGGGTAAATAGTGGTCACCAAAAAAAACTTACCGATACTGCGAAGCGCGCGCCGGCAAAAGCCATCGACAAAGTGGCCGAACCCTAAGTGTTCAAAAACAAGTTCAGTGTCATTGATACGGAAAACGATAGATCCGGCGATTTATTGAAATAATAACATACCGTTCCTGCCTTCGCCTTAACCACTTCAGTGCCGGCGTCTTGAATTCGTTTGGTCAGAGCGTCCAGTTTGTCGTTCGGGAAGGAAACCGAAGGATTCGATCGCGAAATCAACGGAATAATAGTAATACCCGCGTGACCGCCGATTACCGGCACATTCACTTGATTCGGATCGAGACCTTTGGCTTCAGCAATGAATGTATTGGCCCGAACCACGTCTAGAGTGGTCACACCGAATATACGTTTCGGATCGTAGACGCCGTTCTTTTTGAACACTTCCGACGCGATCGGTACCGTCGAGTTGACCGGATTCGAGATGATTGCGATCATAGCTTTCGGGCAATATTTGGCGGCCGCGATGGACAGGTCGCGCACAATAGACGCATTGGTATTGAAGAGATCGTCGCGAGTCATTCCCGGCTTTCGGGGAACTCCGGCCGGTATGACAACCACTTGGGCGCCCTCGAGCGCCGCCTTGAGCTGATCGGGTCCGACATAGCCGGTAACTCGTGCCCGTGTGTTGATGTGACTCAGGTCGGCGGCCACACCGGCTGTGTGGGCAATATCGTAGAGACTCAGATCGGAGACCAGTGAGCTATGCTTAAGAAGCAGCGATAAGGGCTGTCCGATACCTCCCGACGCACCCAATACGGCAACCTTGGAGTTGACCTAAAAAAAGGATCGGAAAAAACCCGAATTGCGAAACAAATCAGTCATTAGATTCTTGTGAATAATTCTTTAAAATTTTGATGAATAAATGGTTTGTCTGTCAAACCTGATTGGATGTACTGAAGGATCGGCTGTTCTTCAGACAGATTTGTGACAAACATTTGGCTGATTTGCTAAACATTTTTCCAGAGAAGACTTTACTTAGCAGTTATAGTGATAGTAGTAGTAGTTGTGGTGGTAATGATTTTCTGTCTCCTAATCTGATTCCGATAATAATAATTATATATAAAATACTTCACCTGAAGGTCAATAACGATAGACAACTGAAAGACAGTACAAGAGGTCGCAGCAGTTGTCGATGAAAGTCATGGAAAACAACAAATGATGTCAAAAGACATGTTCTTCTTCTTCTGTTGTTTTTCTGTTGTTTCATTCAATTCGTTTGAATTTGATTTTTCATTTTCATTTCATTTGATTTCAATTCTGTGACCAAACTTTATTGCATCTGCGAAGACATATCCAGAAATAAACAAAAATGGAGACCAAAAAGTATTGTATAGTTTTTTTTGTGGCCATAATTTAAATCATTGATTGAATTGTCTTTTAATTTTAATTTTTTGTTTTTAGATACGGATTGATTCAATTGTCGAAAAATTCAAACAAACCGATCGCCACACTCAAGAAGAATATATTTGAAAGCGATTCCGATGACAATGAAGACGGCAATGAAGATAGTAGTCGACCTAATGTCAAAAAACGAGTGGACACGTCGTCGGGCGTCAAACGACAGACACAGTTGGATATTAGTCGAGCGCTTACTGAAGATCCCAATGTCTTTGAATACGATAGCATTTATGACGATATGAAGACCAAAAAAGAAGAGACAAAAGTGGCGATCGAAACGGATTTGAAAAACAAAGAACGACCGAAACCTAAATATATGAATACTTTGCTGAAGTATTCAGAAAACAGAAAATTAGAAACAGAAAGAAGAGCTGAACGAAAAATACAGAAAGAAAGAGAACTCGAGGGCAACGAGTTTGCAGATAAGGAACAGTTTGTGACCAATGCTTACAAACAGAAATTACAAGAAATGAAAGCCTTGGAGCTTAAGGAACAAAAGGAACAACAGATTGAAGGTATGTATGGATACTGTTTTCGGTGATATTGTTGTTCTTTTAGATGTAATTTTCGTTTTTGTTTTGTTGAAAGATATGTTGGATGTAAGGAAACAACAAGATTTGTCCGGTTTTTACCGAAATCTACTTAATAGAGACATGTCTTCCGAACCGAAAACATCGGAAACTGATTTATCATCCGAAGAGTTAGCAGCAAATGTAGCAAAAGAAACTAAAGTAAAAGATATACCAAAATCTAAACCTAATCGTCAATTCAGAGCTCGCCGAAAGAGCTCTTCGGAAGAGGAAGAAGATGGCGAAGTAGTGGACGAAAGCAAAGAAAAACCAAATCTGTTTAAAAAACCCAATTTTGAAGACAAATCTAATAATCAATCAAATAAAACGATAAACAAGAGAGAAGAAAGTAAAAGTGGAACCAATGAATTACTTCATGACAAACATAAGACTGCTATCACCACCAGTAGTGATGACCAGAAATCTAGTGATAATTTAGTTGATAATAATGAGACCACTAATGATGAGACAACAGCTGAAACAGAAGAAGAGAGGAAACCAAAGTTAAGCCGAAGAGAACTATTGATACAAATGTTTACTAAGAGAACAGTCGGAGAGGTATTAACTGAGGCACAGATGAGATACTTTCAAAGGAAAGGCAATTATGTTTTGTAAGATAAAGACAAAAAATTAGGTAATAATTAAGTCATTTATAATTAATAAAAATAATAATTATTATTTATTATAAATAAAATTTTAAAAAATAAACATTTTTATTATAATCACATAAAACTTGTTATAATATATATTTTAATAAAATAGTAAATTAATAATAATTTATTAATAATAATAATAAAATCATATTTGTTTTCCACAGCCGACGCTAAATGTATTTTGACTTAAAGTGCTTAAGAACTCCCTATAAATGCAGACAAATAACAAAATTATGTGAATATACGGTAATTCTCTATAAAAAATAAATGTTACCCCAAATCATCTTCATTTGAATTGTTGTCACCAGAACTTCTTGGACCACCATTTCGTTGTTGATTAGAATGAAGACTACGCCGATGACTACTATTATTACGATTACTACTACTACTACTACTACCGGTAATACTGGATGTGTCCATCATTTTTGAGATTTTCTCCAATTCCCGATCCAACGGTGAACTACTACTACCACTGGTCCATCTGTTTGCAGCATTAGGACTATTACCACCGTTAGTACTGCTCATGGATTGATGTGCGCTTTTTGTTGTCATAGATCTATCATCTCTTCTATTCAATTGACCATTTGATGGTTTATTATTCTGATAAAAGCTATCACTTTTGATGAACTCTTTGACCACTTCGAACGTTACCAACGAATAGCCGAATTCATTATTTTGCGGTATATTCCAACTGAATGTTTGAATAAAAGTGATTTCACTCTCAAACTGTTTGGGTTTGTGTGTTGTCAGTACACAGATGAGTGTCGCAATCAAGTCATCCGACATAATACAAATGGGATCTCGTTTGGGACCTATCGGTAGATATCGATAGTAGTCTTCAACCGTTTTGTTTAGCTGATCGGTAACTAAATCTAATATCTTTCGCAAACAGTAAAGTTTTTCCAATGGTGTCGTCTTAATCTCTAAGTCCGTCAATTCGGCCAAAATGTTTGGATTTATTGTAAAATTAGTGAATACTTTCTGAGCTCCGAATTCAACCGGATTTATGCTTCGTTTGAAAAGTTTCATAAAATTTTCGTAAATCTTTTTATCATCTCTTTCGCAGTATTTATTAATTGCCAAAAATAGTTTGTGATGACATAAACCAATTACAAAACTATTAAATAGTAAATTATAATTAGAAAATAGTTTGTAATTTTTAAAAAAAATATTACAAACCTTTCAATAGCTGTACCTAATTGGGAATCATTTGATAAACTTGTAAAACTCTGATGATTACCAAAAAAAAAAAATTAAATTAATACTTAAATAAATTACAATAACATTAATGTTAAACTATAATAATGAAATAAAAATTATTAATAAATACCTGAATACCAAATTCAACAATATCTTGAATAAGCTCTTTGGTATTATTGAGATAATTGGGTAAAACAGTCTGATTGTTAAGAAATTTGTCGACTTCTGATTTTAATGAATCAGTCAATTCTGGCGACAATTTAACTAAAAATTTCTCACAACTAATAGTAGAGTAAAAAAAATATTATTAGAAAAATATTAAAATTAATTTGTTTAACAATAAATTATATATCACTATCAATGCAATACTAACTCATCGAAACTCATTAGCGATGTGTTGTCTTGACTGAGATGATTGCACTCACAGCTGATCCGTCTGTTTGATGAGTTAAGCAACGGATTATCACATATTAGTATTCGGTATTCTTTGCATTGCTTTTGATCCAAAAAAAAAAAAAAAAAAATTAAATCAATAATCGACAAAAAAATTTACATTCATTAATGAAAAAATAAATACAAACTTACGTTATTGTAAGCAATCTCTTCGCTCAATATGTTGATTGTCTCACAATTTTTATCGTCAAAACCTTATTAAAAGACAATCAATAAAACAATACAAAGAGTTACAAATTTCATCAATCAATTGGTTATCACAACAACAACACAAACCTCTGGTCACACGTATCACTTGGCCATTGATTTCCGCGTCTAACGTATGCTTATTATTGGAGGCAACAAAATGACTGAAGAAAACCCGACAAAAAAAAGAAGAAGAAAACAGTGAATCAATTAGTAGATCCCAATCAACAGCAGATCATCCTTTTTTCTGAACACTTACTTCTTGAGAAGCGGCGACGGTTTAAGTATATGAGCCGTAATAAACTTGTCGTTGATGGCAGTGGTATCATAACTGCCATCAATTGGTACACATATTATGTAACACTTGTCCTTTGCCTCTCTGTATCGCTTGGCGTACGACTTCTGCGTTAAAAAACAAGACAATCAATTATAGCTGATCCAAACCAACCATATATAATATGATATGATATACTGACCACAAGAGTGTTGTAGAAGAGATTGTTATGCAATGAAGTCATGTTTGGTTTGATGTGTCAAATGTCTGTTCACTTTCAAGACTCAACAATTGACAACTGATTTGTTGTCAATTAAAACCAAAACCAAAAAAAAACCAAAAAAATCAATGAATCAAACAATTTGTTTGTTTTGTTTACACTTTTTTTTCATATGATTTTCATTTATATTTACATTGAATTCCAAATTATAATAGTTTTCTAATCATTAGATTTTAATTTTATGATTACATTATTACACATACAGTACAGTATCACTAATACTGTACACAACATATGTTGTGTACAGTATTAGTGATACTAGTAATTCAGAATTCAGAATAAACGTTACTTATAATAGAAAAGTAATGCAAAAAAACACATCAATAATTTACGTATTGATTAGTTAGCAAAAAACCTGTTTACAGGGTTTACAAAAAATTGTTTATTTTATTACGTTATTTGTGATTATTATTATTATTATGTCAACACTGTATTTATTTAAATGCCAACTATAATACTATTGACTTTAAGGATAAACCTCTAAACAGTACAATACATATGACAGTTAACTCTCGATAGTATGCTATGCATAGCATGTATTAACTATACAATAACTATAGTGCGGATCGTCCTTGAAATGTATCGCTTAATATGATTCACTATTACAGTACTTTACTATACAGTTGTCATCCAAACATGTGATGGAAAATAATGTTTGAAATCAAATGTTTTTTTGTTTTCATTTTAATTATCAAACAAACAAATAATAAAATCATATGAAATATGTTTGTATTTATTATTTCAGTGATAATCTTATCGGTAGTTATTATCGGCTTATCGCTCAAGATATATGTCAAACTAGTGGACTGTAGATATCGTAGCCGTAATGGACTGACAAATGATGAGACTATTGTTGCCTTTTTTCATCCGTTTTGCAACTCCGGCGGCGGCGGTGAACGTGTCCTATGGGTGGCCTTACGTGCACTTCGGGACAAATATCCCGATTGTCATTATGTTGTTTATACAGGTTTGGATCAGTTATCTTTATTATTTGGTGATGATATCGATAACTAAATGATTTTTGTTTGTTTTTTTTGTAGGCGATGTTGAGGCCAAACCCGAAGAAATCTTAGCGAAAGCGCGAAACCATTTTAAGATTGATTTGGATGACTCGTCCATACGTTTTGTATATCTTAAGAGACGATATCTAATCGGTTGCCAATTGTATCCATACTTTACACTATTGGGTCAAAGTATTGGCTCCGTAGGACTCGGTTTGGAAGCGCTGTTCAATTGTCGGCCCAACATCTTCATCGACAGTATGGGCTACAGCTTTACGTTTCCAGTGTTCAAGTATTTAGGCGGTTCACGTGTGGTAGCATATGTCCACTATCCGACTATCAGTACCGATATGTTAGAATTGGTGGCCCAGACACGTACCAGTTATAACAATCGGTCGTTTATCAGTAACAGTCCAGTGCTGACCAAAGCTAAACTTATGTATTATAAACTATTTGCATATCTGTACGGATTGATGGGCCGTATGGCCGAAATAGTGATGGTTAACTCGAGTTGGACTAAAGGACACGTCGAACATATATGGCAACGGGAGGCCCGAACAGTGTATCCGCCGTGCAATACAAGTGATTTGAAACAGTTGTCGTTGGCTAATAAAAATCGTCTGAAAATCGTATCGATTGGTCAGATAAGACCCGAAAAGAATCATAAGTTACAATTGATGGCTTTCAAAGAGTTTATCGATAGACTAGCCGCTGATGACAACAAATCGGTGGCAAAACTAGTCATAATTGGCAGCTGTCGTGACAGTGATGATGAACAACGATTGGATGAATTGAAAAAACTTTGTCATAAACTGGAAATCGACGATAAAGTCGACTTCAAGATTAACATTCCGTACGATGAGCTTAAACGTCAAATTGAAGAGTCGAGTATTGGTTTACATACAATGATTAACGAACATTTCGGTATCGGTGTTGTCGAATGTCTGGCCTCAGGACTCGTAACAGTGACGCACGACTCGGGCGGACCTAAATTGGATTTAATACGAAACGAAACAAACGGTTTTCTGGCAACAGATTTGCACAATTTTGCCGAAATTCTTTATAAAATTGCTAATCTATCGGATAGACAATTAATGGACATCCGAGTGACCGCCCGAAACAGTTCCGACCGATTTTCAGAGCAACAATTCGAGACACTGTTTCTACAATCCATTGAATCAGTTTTTTAATTAAAAAAACTTTTTTGTATTTCTAAAAAAAAGTATTTGAGGGAAAAGAGCGTCTATTTATTGTATTTTTTTATTTAAAATAATATATGAGAGAAATAAACTGTTAATATAAGAAATTTTTAAAAAATTAATCAAATGTTTAGTTTTATTTATTTAATTTTTTTTATTTGATGAAAAAACTTGATTATAAAACACAATTGAAGCGTTAAAATATAGTTGACACAACATTCACAATACATAAATTCATGTATTTAAAAAAATTATATTAAAGGTAATACAACTTTAAACACATACAAAATTATTTTTTCATCAAAATACACAAAATACAGTATTATATAATAATATCAATAAATGCCATTGAATTGCCACTTGTATTGCTGAGCTATTATACTGTTTACGATAATATAGATATATATTTGAATGAAGTGGTTGTCCCCTTACTCCCACACTAACGCCAGTTCACTGTTTCTAATACATAGTACCGACCATTTGTACAATCAATCAATACATACCCAGAGCGCAGTTATATAAATATTTACAGTAATAGTCAGTTTAAATGTCTATTTGTTTATTACATACACACACACACATAGTGTCTGACGATATAATTATATACCACCAGATGATTAGGACTAAACTGATTTAATATATATATATTTATTATACATACATATAGTCTATTAGTATTAGTATAATTATTATACATATTTAAATACATTATTGTATTGTATTAATAGAAAATATAAATTATGTTAATATTATATCTAATATTAATATAATCAATGATATAATTTATATCTATCTATCAATAAATCATATGTGTGTTTATGTTATGCAAATACAGTATAACTAAATAATAAAAATAATAACATATATTTCTATAGATATAGGATATTATGTAATGAATTTTTGATATTTTTCAAGTTTTGTTACAATCAGTGTAATCACTAACTAACTAATTTTACTTATTTATACAACTAATACAACTGTTTTTACATATATTGTAATTTAAATACATATTTAAGTAACGGTAAGTTTGTATTGATTTCAAGTGATTTATAATCTAATCGTTATTATTATTATTATTATTAAACAAATAGCAACTGATTTATACAGTCATAACTGTCAAGATTGAAGACAATGACCACAACAACAACTACAAGACTAATGCGTGACTCATTTGATCGTTTCGGCGATGATTTGGCCAATCTATTGTTGGCGTATCTGATGATAACACCTGAAGACAAATTGAAACTACAATTAGTTAGCAAACAGTGGCAGTCGGTGTTGTTTGGCGTACAGACTGACCTCACGATTGATATCGATCGCAGACATTACAAACAAAGAGTTAAATTGTTTGCTATGATTCTACAAAAGTGTCCAAATATTACCGGAGTTGTCATTACCCACCGTTCTGACTGCTCTATCGATGAATTAGTTGATCTATTGATGACATACTGTCCTCATTTGTTGCACTTAAGACTTCATATACTACATCACGAATGTCATCTGAATTGGGATACTTTTGACCGACTATTGTCGTCATTTGGACCACAATTGCAGACATTGGAGTTAACGACTGTATTTAGTATAAACAATAAACTATTGGTCCGTAAAGTCAGCGATTTTGTACCGCAACTCAAAAAAACTGATGATTGGCTACAGTATGTATCCATCATTAGATTTTAGCCACTATTTCAGTCAACAGGGAGTTTGTCTTTTGCCTAAAAATACTAGTCTACAGTCGCTATCATTTCAGTTGACAGATCATTCAAATTGGCAGTCACTAATTGGTCCGTTTGCCAAAACACATGGCCATCAATTGACAACCGTCGACATTGGTATCAATTTTCGGGAAGAAACAAATTTACCGATATTTGTTGAGGCATTGACACAGATGTCGTTGTCTCCCAATTTGCGTCGACTAAGTCTAACTATTCAGAGGACTTTAGATCCATTTGTCGATTATTCCGACAATTTAATTGATGAACTAATACGACAACAGTTTAGCCGTCGATATTGTTATCAATTGAAAAGTCTTAACATTGAAGTTAAACGAATTACCAATAGTTTATTATTTTATAATTTTTTAGACTCATTGGGCAAAAGTTGCAGACAATTGAAACGTTTGACGATTAGTTTTAGAAATGAAGATAATATTAATAACAGTAATACTGATAATAATTGGCTAATAATGAGTGAATCAATGAAACAGATGAAACAATTGACACATTTGTCGCTTAATTTGGGAATCGGTTTTATTGGCGACAAATTTTTCATCGACATTGCCGACTATTTACCACGACTTCAAGTCATTGATATCAAGTATGCGGACATTAGCCGCCGATCACTGCAATCACTGTCCCGATTGTCTCACTTAACTAACTTACGATTTGCCAACTGTCGTAGCGCTGCCGTACTTTTCCATTGTATTTTCAACGATCTAATTAAACGGCAGCCGAATGTGGCCAAAGTGTTCATATCGTGGGACAGTAATGGCCAACAATTTATGTTTGGCTTTTATAACGATTGTGACACTAATTATTCACCAAAACATCCAAAATGTTTAATACAGTAATAAAACAGTACAAAAAAGAGATAATATTTTTTAAACGAAAAAATTGTCTACACTTTACAATCTTGTTGTAGTTGTTATTGTTTTTACTTATAAATACTAATTTATTTCATAAAAATTATTTGTTAAATTCAATATAATATAATTCCCTATTTGATTGATTGATTAAAAATATTTTGCCTTAATATAAATTATATAATATTAAACTGTTTACTACTACTGGCAACTGATTTTTAAAAAAGTTTAGTAAAACTGAAACTATTTATTAAAATTCAATCAAATCTATCGGATATTTACAAAAATTAATGGACATCTCGAGTAACCGCCCGAAACAGTTCCGACCGGTTTTTTCAGACCAACAATTCCGATACACTGTTCCTACAATCCGTTCAATCGGTTGTTTTTTTTAATTAAAACTTTTTATTATAATTGTGAGAAAAAGAGATCCTATTTGTTGTGCAATTTTATTGTATTTAAATATATATATTAATTTATATATGAGAAAAATAAATTGTTAAAATATATATCGGATATATAAATAATAAAATATACAGTTAACGGCTAAAAGTTTTTTTATTTGACATAAATTATCGGCGATTTATCGGTAAAGTTATGGACAAATGTTGTACAACAACAACAAAAAATTTAATAACTAATAAAAAAATAAGTTATCAAAATTTTTAATTATTTATTTTCTATATTTTTTTATTTGTTTGATGAAAAAACTTGTTATTAAAACACAATTGAAGCGTTTAATATATACTACATATCTATATATCATAAATACCGGTATAAAACAATCAAACAAATAAAAACTTATATAACTTTAAACACATTACACACACAAACATAATACATGATTGCATCAAACTATAAGCCACTCCTATAATGGAGACCTCTGTTGTCATAATCATTGTGTATGTGTTATACAAACAATATTGTATAAAGTGATTGACGAATAATACTGTGTATATTATACAGTGTATAACATTAACATAACATTACTGTACAGTACTGTATGTATGAGTCGATTGATTATTATTGCATGCATTCAATACAAGTGTTGTGTTTATTATAATATTATTATAACATTTGTGGTAATCATATGATGATGTGATGGACGAGTCGCTCATCTATTACTTGCTATTGATTCCCATCTCTATTCCGGTAACACTATTCTTCATGTTGTTGTCGTGGATGGGCTTCCAGTTGTTTATCAATAACTAAGTGCAGACGTTGTTGTCGTCGTCGTCATCGTCGGACAGTGACGTCTCATATAGTAGACGAGCGATACGATCGCCGCCGGTGTCACTCCTGGCAAGCGTTTGGCCGCAAATATCTACATATATATAGCCGTCATCAAAGATCGGGTATGTTTTAGACATATATATCCTATAGTTTTAAGACAATTTAAGACACAATACAAACCGTTTTGGGTTTATTTCTGTGTAAGACATCTCTGACTTCGTTGCTTAAGACCAGTTCGTCGTTCATGTAATCAAATTGCGGACTAATCTCAAGCGACTCTTCGCTCTTAATTTCTTCGGCTAAGTGTTGCTCTTCTCGTTCGTAGTGATCGTAAAGAGCTTTATTTGATTAGTAGTAATATAAAAGTTATTATTATAATGATTTGATTCAACACCAAGAAGTTGTCAATTGAATGAATGAATGGTTTGTTTTATCATTTTTTAAACAAAAAAAAATACAAACCTTCAGATTTAAGACGATAGCTTAAGATGTGATTGCAATCAATTGGTGACAATTGTTTTGCAAACAATTTAACCAATTGATTGACTGAAAACTCGTTGAGTGCCAACACTTGAAAAGCTCTGCAAATTTAAAAGATTCAAATTATTTGTATTAAACAAACAAAAAAAATCATTAATTCATTAGTCCTAACGTCTTAAGCGAATTGTTTCGGTTATTATCCAAATTAATACCCAACTCTTGTCTCCATTTAGACAATGGTTTGCTAATTGATTGTAAAAACTCTTTACTTTCGTCAATGATTTGTCTCGTTTGACAAAACCGGTCATATCTTTGTTGCGAAACAAATCCCATTTCATAACCTTTTGTTTTTTTTAGATGAAAAATAATTGCCGATTAAATATATGTTTGAATTGTTTGTTTTTTTCCGGTGACACTATTAAGTTAACAACATAAATGATTAACCTCTTTGAGTGAACCGTATGTCCGCGTTGTCGGGTCTGAGCCTAAGTCTAAACTCAGACCTACTCGTAAACATCCGATACGGTTCGTCGGTTCCCATTGTTGTCAAATCATCGATTAGTACACCAATGTAGCCATCGGTACGACTTATAATCAGTGGATCTTTGCCAAGACATTTAGCCGCAGCATTAATACCGGCCACTATTCCCTGAGCGGCAGCTTCTTCATAACCGGTTGTACCGTTTATCTGTCCCGACATAAACAGATTATCTATTAGAGAAGTTTCCAATGTTTGTTTGAGTTGTCGCGGATCAATGTGATCGTATTCAACACCATAGCCCGGCCTTAACATTCGGGCCCTTTCGAGACCGGGAATCAAATTAATCACTTGTTGTTGTATTGATTCCGGAAGAGTACATGAGATGCCATTCGGATATATGACATCCGAGTCGAGACCTTCTCATAAAATTTTTTTTATCAGTTATACCCGTATTGTAATTATCATATTATCTAATAATAATAAATTGCAAAACCTTCCGGTTCGAGCCATATCTGGTGACTCTTGTGTTTGAATTTCAAAATTTTCGACTCAATAGATGGACAATAACGAGGACCTCTGACCTCTTCTCTGACATGTCGTGACAAATGAATGTTTTGCGTGATTAGATCTGTCACTCTTTCATCAGTAAATGTAAGCCAAGTATCTATTTGTTTGTCCTCCTATTTATTAAAAAAAATACAACAACAATAATAATAATCACTAATTGTTTATTATTATCTTCTATATGGATCAGTTGATTGCCGATATAGAGTTGTATACCTCTATCCATACGCGATCATTCATGAATGAGAAGGGAATGGGAGGTTTATCGCCATTAGTTGCCACTAAATTACTATAATCAATACTATTCTTATCGATTCTTGGAGGAGTTCCTATTGTTTTTAAAAAAACAAAACAAAAATAAAATAAAATATAAATTATTGTTAACTTCATTAAACGAGTTAATCGACTTTGAAATTTATATATATTATAAAAAAATGATAACCTGTTTTCAGTCGTCCCATTTGAAAGCCTACCGATTCCAGTGTATTGGCCAAACCTATTGCCGGCTCATCGCCTAAACATTTAATCAATTATTTTATTATTTTTGTATGACTTTTATGTCTTTGTTTTAATTCAATCCTTTTCAAATTACTGTACCTATTCTTCCGGCTGGATATGAATCTAATCCTATATTAATAAGACCTCTCAGGAAGGTTCCCGTTGCCAGTACTACTGTGCGACCTCTTATATGCTGTCCATCGCCTTTAAACATGCAATTTATTTATAATATAATTTTATAGTAATATGATATTACTTGTGATAATGCCATGACATTGAAGTTTGTCTCCATTTTTATCTAAAATCAAGTCTTCAACCGAACAACATTTGACAGTAAGATTCGGTGTATTTTGCAATATCTCATTTTGCATCCATTTCCTATATAGGGATCTATCTATCTGTGCCCGCCATCCCTTTCAAATACAAAATATTACAGTATATTACCGGTAATAGCATATATTGTTAGCCAATAAGGTATATTAATAACACATTTTTAAAAAAAAATTAATTAATAAAATTTGATATTAAAACTAATATATCAATACCCAAACAGCCGGTCCTTTACTTCTGTTTAATATTTTGTATTGAATTCCGGAAAGATCTGCCAATTGGATGATTCATTTGAAAAATAATTTTGTTTAAAATAATAATAATTATTATTATAATGATAATCGTCAGTCAATTTATCATTTACCGCATATTTTGCCACAAATGCCATCCATGGCATCGATCTCTCTCATGAGGTGTCCTTTGCCGATACCACCAAATGCCGGATTACAAGACATTTCACCTAAAAAAATGGTGTATTTATTTCAAACTTATTGTTAAGTGTTTTGTATCTTCAATATAATAATGTATTGATAATTATTAGCTAATATTTACCAATAGTTTGTGTCTTATGTGTCACTAATAATACATTTGTGTTCATACGAGACGCCGCACTCACGGCCTCAACACCTGTCAGCCGGGATATGCAAATGAATCAGTAATTAATATTAATTAATTAGTTTTTTTTATATGTATATAAATAAGTGGTCACTGACCTGCATGACCGCCGCCAATGACAATGACATCGAAATCATAGGTCGAGTTTAGTCGCAAACATTTTTTGATGACACTGGATGTTGTTGTCTTTAACAGACAACAATAACCGTTGCGTAAACCATACATAACTGTAGTGATAGTTATGTATGATATATATACCGCGGGGTATATACTCGGTATATATCACTTGAATAGTTTGATGTTTTATTTATTGTAAAAAATTTTTAAAAAATAATTTATTCAATTAATTTTTATCCATTGATGACATGAACCACCAAAACAAACAAACAAAAAAGTTTATCGCATTTAGCAATAATATTGAACAATCAATTTGCAAAACCCATTGACTATATATATGATGTAAACAATATTTTTATTATTATTATTTATTTTTGTTGTTGAATGCATGCCTTTTAATAAATATAGGAGACATACAATTGTTTGCTAACAGATGGCTGTTAACTATTATAATGTATACAATAAATACATAGTTTTTTTGTTGGTTTTTAGTTATACACTGTATATCGTAAATGCATTATTACTTAACATGTATTCTGTATTCAGTATATAATGTAATACTTGAAGTGTAATGTAGTGTATGATTCTTGTGGTATGAGTTTGTTGTGTAACTTATATATATATAAAGAGAGAGAGAGAGAGAGGAAAAAAATAAAAGGTAATACCAGTGGACTAATAGAGTATTTTATATAATATATTATATATCATATATAAAAAAATATTAAGTTTAATATTTTATAAGCACTGGTATTCAACCAAATTGTTGTGTATGTGTATGTGCTCTTCACTTACAGTTATAAATCATATATTGATTGATACATAGCACACACACATTGTGTGTGTGTGTGTGTGTGTGTAGTATTAGTTGGAAATAAAAGATTTGAAATTAATTTTCTATATAAAAGTTATATTTTTTTCTGCCAACTATTCAATAGTTTAGTAATAATTTTATTTATTTATTTTTTTAAATAAGATTCTTTATCTAACAATCTTTGTATATGTGATATTTCATTTGATTATATATATATATATTTCATTTGTATAAAACTAGTTTTCAAACATAATTATTATTTATTATTTTATATTTAAGTTGTAATTATTAAATATTTATCGATAATGCTTATATCATAGTGCATGAAGTTATTTATTATAATTATTTTTGTTATTCAATTTATTTTGATTTATATACGTTATATATATATATATTGTTTATTCATTTAATTGTTGTTCAATGATTTATCTAAATTTGTAATATTATATTATTTATATTTTTCTATTTACAGTATTACTAAATAAATTGTTGGTTAATACACAGTATGTATATATATCTGTGAACATATGTTTCATTTGTTGAAAGACAGACACTATTGATGTCGTATATACAACAACACAAAAGATATCAATTTATAAATGAGTTATCAATTATTGACAAATAATAATATTGAAATAATGGGCGGACGAACATTGAGACGATACCTATTGATGGGACTGTTATGTTTGGTTACTATTGGACTCATCTATCAGTTTACATCACCCGCTTGTTTTGTATCACATTCATCGGCATCGCAATGGATTGGACCCGAGGTTTGAATTGATTTTTTTTTAAAATTTTTAAATTATAAATATGTGTAAACTTTGACAATCATATGGTCTAATATACAGTACATTGCGATTACAATTATGGTTTTATGGTTAGATTTCCTGTATTATGATTTTTTTTGTTATAAAAAAGTAATAATACCGGTATTGTCTTATTATTTGCTTGAAGTAACTTATATTATGAAATTTACAGTTGTATTAAAATTATACTGTAAATTATAATGTGAATTACACTATGAAATAAATTTTTGATGTTTATGAGTTTTATTTTTGACATTATTATATAAATTATATTATAATACCTTTAATATTTCCTTAAATTAAAGTATAAAGAAATTTATTTTTTTAAAAAACAAACTTATTTAAAGATAACATAGAAATGTATTGTAGACAAAAAAGTGTTTTTATTATATATAAAAAATTGTTTTTATAGTGATTTTAATCGTATAAATAAATTAAATGTGTGTGTGTGTGTGTGTGCGCTTAGTGTTAATATTGACATTGAATTTGAATTTAATATAAATCTCACTTTAAATTATTTTTTTAATTTTTAAAAATGCAGTGTTAGCTGAAAACCTAATTTGTTATTTAATGCAACAATTTTTTTTCTCTTTCTCTCTCTCTTTTAAATATCGATTCAGTAATTACTTATTCAAAAAATAAAATCTTATTTAAATAAAATTATATAAATACTATAGTACAGTATTAAGGCTTAGCTTTGATAAAATCTATGTTTATTTTATATACAGTATTTGTTTGATTCACCTTTCTATGACATTTACACAGTGTATTAGTTTGTAATGATGTTTTATTTTCAATAGAAAACTAAATAAAAAAAATTTTTATCAAATGAATTTTTATATATATATATACAAAAAAGTCTATTTATTATTATTATAAAGTAAAAATATAAAGATGTTTGTGTAATCTATGTTTTATTATATTTTATTATAGATTTATTTGTTGGTAAAAAATAAAAGATTATACAGTAAATACTTTATAATAAACTAAAAAAATAAGATGAAATTTTTATATGGAAAACTATACTAAATTTAGTTAAATCTAATTACGTGAAAATCCAGTAGTATTAAACAAAAAAACAAAATATATATATACAGTATATATAATAAAATGCCATTTATTTGTCGATAAAATGACATACACTTTGCAAAAACATATGTCTATATTATACTAAAGCTAATAAAAAAAACATTTTGTCTAAAAACACAATATATATACTATAAATAATTGTCTCGTAAATAAATTGCTATTTTATTACATTGATTGATTACACTACTAGTGTCTTATAATTAATTAATAACACATTTATAATATCGATTGCAATATTAGGCTCACTATAACTATAAAGAGAGAGAGAGAGAGAGAGAGAGAGAGAGAGAGAGAGAGAGAGAGAGAGATTCTATAGTTTTTTAGCTTTTATGGTAAGTGTTTACAAATGTCATCTATCAATCAAATAATATGATATATATTTTTATTAAGTTTGACTATTGTTAGGGATTATCAATAGTGAAGTTAATTTTGAAGCCTAATCTAGCCGTGTGTTTCCAAGTATTACCCCATCAACCATCAAATTTAACATAACTGTGCAATTTTATTGCTATGGTGAACGGTATTTACATAATACAATTGTTTTGTCGGTATTTAATCTATAGAGAGTGCAAAACAATTAAATATTTTTCATTTGCTAATCAATAGTGTTTATAATTTAATTTAATAGTAATGAATGTAGTAGTTTACTGGAGGTTTATTTTTGTTTGCAAAATTTTAGTCCTAAAAATTAATTAAATTTTCAAAATTATTTTAAATAATGCATCGTCTAGTAGTCTCTGGATGTAAAATAGTTTAATTAATAGAAAAAAATGTTTAATTTTAATAAGTGTATATTAAAATTATTGATGTTAAATTTAAAAATAAAATAAAATATAAATTTTAATTTAAGAGGTTATCAAAAGATTTAATTAAATATTGATCTAGAATTTAATTATTTTTTGATTTTATAAACCATTATATTTGAAAATTCAACATTTTTAGCTATATTTTGTAATAAATTCAATGTTAAAATAATTTTTATTATAAATTGGAATTTTTTTTGGTTAATATTTGAAATAAAATTATGAAAATAGTGAGATAATTGTGTTTTGATGTTTTCATATATATAGAGAGTTAATTGATTGAATTAAAAGTTAAAGTGAAAATCTCTGATTGAAACTTTCATTATGATATGTTATATTCTCTTTAATTATTTTTTTAGGCCATAACATAATTTTCATATTAATATTTTTCCGTACCAGTAATATGTAGTCTATTGATATTAATATATATTAATATATTGTAGTATATATATATATATATATCACAATTAAATATAGCAGAAATTTGCTCAATTAATTCAAATTATATTTCACTGTATATTAAATGTAATATGCTTTTATTTAATTTATACTGTAATGATATATTAGTTATTTATATTTATAAATATATACAAATGTAAATGTATATATATATATATATAATATTTTTATATATTGGATATATATATTGAAATTATTTATATAGTGTAGTCAAACTTATTTTATTTTTAAATTAATAAGTTATATATATATAACTTATTATAACTTATATATATATATATTAATATTGCTGTATTATCATATTATCATTTATAAAAATATGTAGTTTTTATTTAAATTATTCCAATAATTATTATTAGTAAAGAAATATATTTTTTATTTAATTTTTTACTAATTATTTTTTAGTTATCATTTTTATTAATATACTCAACATTACTATATTCCGGTATTACTAAATTATACAAATATATACATATTATATAGTTATTTGTTGTATATTTTCAACAATTTGCATAATTTACACTCAATTATTACTATATATAATATTTACCCACAAATTACTCTATAATGTTAATTATGATTTAAATTATGATTCATAATTTTTGCTTAATTATGTTTTATTATTTGACAAAATTTTTAGATTTATCATAATTATTATTATTATTATTGTCTGTAATCTGTATCATATATGGAAAATAGGACTTGATTTTTGAATGACTCCCATAATTATAATCATTTAATCGGATATTTATTTGAAACAATATTAGGACAAACATTATTTTTAATGATCATTTGTCTGTGTTATCATCCAAAATGTTAATACATATTATATATATATTAACAAATATAAACTAATTTTAGAAATTAATTAAATGAGTTGTAATTATCACTATTTAGAAATTTTTCGCAATTAAATCTATTTAAAAAAATAGTTTTTAAATGACATTTTCAATATAATCTGTTACCATATGCTTGTAATTGTGTGTTATTTGCATACATTTATGTTGTATTAAAAATGTAATTTAAATTTTTAATTGTCAGTAATCAATATTTATCAAAAAAAACTTGAAAAGTTTTGTTTACTGAAATCTATAATGGCTTTTTGAGTCTGTCTGTCTGTCTGTCTGTAGCATTTTTTTTGCGAATTTTGAAATTCTGATTTCAGATTCGGTTAGAGGACTACTAATAATGTATTGAAAAGTTGCATCAAAATTTTGATATCTCTTCGGGAACATAAAAAAAATGGCGGCCAAAATTAAGAAATTTTTAAGAATTTTTTTTTAGGTATAGATTTGTATAAAGCATCAAAAACAAGCATAAGAAATATGCATTAAAATTTTGATATCTCTTCGGGAACAGAAAAAATGGCGGATTTGAGAAATATTTTCATGAAATCACCTTTATTTTTACTGTTTTAGATACAAATATTGACTTATATAATAAACTGAGCATATTGTATAAAAATATTGCGTCAACATTTAATATTGCGTCACTATTTAATATTGCGTCACTATTTAATATTGAGTCATTATTTAATATTGCATCACTATTTAATATTGCGTCATTATTTAATATTGCATCAACATTTAATATTGCGTCATTATTTAATATTGCGTCATTATTTAATATTGAATCAACATTATTATTGCGTCACTATTTAATATTGCGTCAACATTTAATATTGCATCAACATTTAATATTGCGTTACATTTAATATTGCATCACTATTTAATATTGAGTCATTATTATTGCGTCACTATTTAATATTGCGTCACTATTTAATATTGCGTCACTATTTAATATTGCGTCACTATTTAATATTGCGTCATTATTTAATATTGCGTCATTATTTAATATTGAAGCAACATTATTATTGCGTCACTATTTAATATTGCGTCAACATTTAATATTGCTTCAACATTTAATATTGCGTCATTATTTAATATTGAGTCAACATTATTATTGCGTCACTATTTAATATTGCGTCATTATTTAATATTGCGTCATTATTTAATATTGAGTCAACATTAATATTGCGTCAATATTTAATATTGCGTCACTATTTAATATTGCGTCACTATTTAATATTGCGTCATTATTTAATATTGCGTCATTATTTAATATTGAAGCAACATTATTATTGCGTCACTATTTAATATTGCGTCAACATTTAATATTGCGTCAACATTTAATATTGCGTCATTATTTAATATTGAAGCAACATTATTATTGCGTCACTATTTAATATTGCGTCACATTTAATATTGCGTCATTATTTAATATTGCGTCAACATTTAATATTGCGTCAACATTTAATATTGCGTAATTATTTAATATTTTGTCAACATTTAATATTGCGTCAACATTTAATATTGCGTCAACATTTAATATTGTGTCAACATTTAATATTGTGTCAACATTTAATATTGCGTCAACATTTAATATTATAAATAAAGAGAAATTATTATTTCAAGTCTCATTTCGAGTTGAGCCGTCAAAGAGACAACATGTAAGTCTTACTTATTTTATTATTTCAATAATAATTAATATTATATTTAAAATAATTATTAAAAATTACTTTTATTTGTTATTTCATTAAACTGATAATAGTGTCAACATTAATATTGCATCAACATTTAATATTGCGTCATTATTTAATATTGAAGCAACATTATTATTGCGTCACTATTTAATATTGCGTCATTATTTAATATTGCGTCATTATTTAATATTGCGTCAACATTTAATATTGCGTCAACATTTAATATTGCGTAATTATTTAATATTTTGTCAACATTTAATATTGCGTCAACATTTAATATTGCGTCAACATTTAATATTGTGTCAACATTTAATATTGTGTCAACATTTAATATTGCGTCAACATTTAATATTATAAATAAAGAGAAATTATTATTTCAAGTCTCATTTCGAGTTGAGCCGTCAAAGAGACAACATGTAAGTCTTACTTATTTTATTATTTCAATAATAATTAATATTATATTTAAAATAATTATTAAAAATTACTTTTATTTGTTATTTCATTAAACTGATAATAGTGTCAACATTAATATTGCATCAACATTAATATTGCGTCAACATTAATATTGCGTCAACATTAATATTGTGTCAACATTTAATATTATAAATAAAGAGATTATTATTTCAAGTCTCATTTCGAGTTGAGCCGTCAAAGAGACAACATGTAAGTCTTACTTATTTTATTATTACACTTAATAATTAATATTATATTTAAAATAATTATTAAAAATTACTTTTATTTGTTATTTCACTAAACTGATAATAGTGTCAACATTAATATTGCATCAACATTAATATTGCGTCAACATTAATATTGCGTCAACATTAATATTGCGTCTACATTAATATTGGATCATTGTTTAATATTGCATCAACATTCCATATTTTTATAAATAAAGTGAAATTACTATTTCAAGTCTCATTTCGAGTTGAGCCGTCAAAGAGACAACATGTAAGTCTTACTTATTTTATTATTACACTTAATAATTAATATTATATTTAAAATAATTATTAAAAATTAATTTTATTTATTTCATTAAACTAATAATTGCGTCAACATTAATATTGCGTCAACATTAATATTGCGTCTACATTAATATTGGATCATTGTTTAATATTGAATCAACATTCAATATTATTATAAATAAAGTGAAATTATTATTTCAAGTCTCATTTCGAGTTGAGCCGTCAAAGAGACAACATGTAAGTCTTACTTATTTTATTATTACACTTAATAATTAATATTATATTTAAAATAATTATTAAAAATTACTTTTATTTGTTATTTCACTAAACTGATAATAGTGTCAACATTAATATTGCATCAACATTAATATTGCGTCAACATTAATATTGCGTCAACATTAATATTGGATCATTGTATAATATTGAATCAACATTCAATATTATTATAAATAAAGTGAAATTATTATTTCAAGTCTCATTTCGAGTTGAGCCGTCAAAGAGACAACATGTAAGTCTTACTTATTTTATTATTACACTTAATAATTAATATTATATTTAAAATAATTATTAAAAATTACTTTTATTTGTTATTTCACTAAACTGATAATAGTGTCAACATTAATATTGCATCAACATTAATATTGCGTCAACATTAATATTGCGTCAACATTAATATTGGATCATTGTATAATATTGAATCAACATTCAATATTATTATAAATAAAGTGAAATTATTATTTCAAGTCTCATTTCGAGTTGAGCCGTCAAAGAGACAACATGTAAGTCTTACTTATTTTATTATTACACTTAATAATTAATATTATATTTAAAATAATTATTAAAAATTACTTTTATTTGTTATTTCATTAAACTGATAATAGTGTCAACATTAATATTGCGTCAACATTAATATTGGATCATTGTATAATATTGAATCAACAATCAATATTATTATAAATAAAGTGAAATTATTATTTCGTCTCATTTCGAGTTGAGCCGTCAAAGAGACAACATGTAAGTCTTACTTATTTTAATATTACAGTTAATAATTAATATTATATTTAAAATAATTATTAAAAATTACTTTTATTTGTTATTTCATTAAATTGATAAGTGTCAACATTAATATTGTCAACATTAATATTGTCAACATTAATATTGCATCAACATTAATATTGCGTCAACATTAATATTGGATCATTGTTTAATATTGCATCAACATTCAATATTATTATAAATAAAGTGAAATTATTATTTCAAGTCTCATTTTGAGTTGAGCCGTCAAAGAGACAACATGTAAGTCTTACTTATTTTATTATTACACTTAATAATTAATATTATATTTAAAATAATTATTAAAAATTACTTTTATTTGTATTTCATTAAACTGATGTGTCAACATTAATATTGCGTCAACATTAATATTGCGTCAACATTAATATTGCGTCAACATTAATATTGGATTATTGTTTAATATTGCATCAACAATAAATATTATAAATAAAGTGAAATTATTATTTCAAGTCTCAGTTCGAGTTGAGCCGTCAAAGAGAAAACATGTAAGTAAAGCTTATTTTATTATTAGTGTTAATAATTAATATTATATTTAAAATAATTATTATCTGCTATTTGGTTTATTTATTTGTTTATTAATTATTGCGCAAATAATAATATTGTGTCACTAATTTATAGTGGGTTTACATTAATATTGCGTCAACATTAATATTGCGTCTCTATTTAACGTTGCGTCAATATTAATATTAACATTTAATATTATCTATAAAGTTATTTTGACTTTTTCTTATACATAATATATTTATTTTATATTAAAATATTTAAAGTTAATTACAAATAAATATTTTAGTAGATTCAAAATCATGTCTGATTCTGAAAACGAAGATTACTTAGATTCGAAAAAGCGAAAAAAATCTGCTGATAGACAGAGAATAGCTGATAAAAGACTTAAAGATAAAGAATCACGTGATCGTGAAAAAGAAGCCGACAAACAAAGAAAAGCTGATAAACGTCTCAAAGATAAAGAATCACGTGATCGTGAAAAAGAAGCCGACAAACAAAGAAAAGCTGATAAACGTCTAAAAGATAAAGAATCACGTGATCGTGAAAAAGAAGCCGACAAACAAAGAAAAGCTGATAAACGTCTCAAAGATAAAGAATCACGTGATCGTGAAAAAGAAGCCGAGAGACATAGAAAAGCTGAAAAACGTATCAAAGATAAAGAATTTCGTGATCTTGAAAAAGTAGCCGACAAACATAGAAAAGCTGATAAACAACTTCAAAATAAAAAAACACGTGATCTTGAAAAAGAAGTCAAAAAATTAATTAAAGTAAAAAATCAAAATAATTCTAATTTTAAGAAATTTGAAGATGCAAAGCTATTAGGTCCTACTGAAATCTGTTCGTGTTGTGGATGTTTATGGTTTATCACACAAATTCGTTCTTTCAACATAGTTAACTTCACAAAATTGAATGACAATGAGAAAGCACAAATCGATTTCTTTAATTTAAAAGAAAATTGTCATTTTTGCAATACATGTTATCAAGATATATTAAAGTCTAAAATTCCTCGATTATCTTTATCTCATGGACTGATGTTTCCAGAAATACCAGAATGTCTTAATAGTCTCAATGATTTAGAAGAAAGAATGGTGTCCGCAAGAATAATATTTGAAACAATATTACATTTACCAAAAGGTGGACAGTATAAAATGAAAGGAAATGTAGTTAACGTTCCAGTAGATCCAAATGCAATGCTTCCATTATTACCAAGAATTGACGATGAATTGCACATTATAAGAGTACAATTAAAAAGACGTATTAATGATCCACCTCGATTGGATAACAAAGACTTGTATAAAACTGTTAGACCACACGAATTAAAGCAAGCACTTAATTTTTTAATTAAACAAAGTGCCTATATAAATGCTGGTGTTAAACTAAAACATGACTGGTATAAACGATTTCCCAAAGAGTTTTCTCAAATAAATGAATCAGAAGAAGATAAACTAACTAATAATATTATTAATGATGACGATGATATTGTTGGATGTTTAGATACACTTTTGGATAGTGATGATCCACAAGTTGGAGTAGCATATGCTCCTGGAGAAGGAAAAAAGCCTTTAAATATTTTGATTGACATTAATGCTGCATCGTTGGCTTTTCCTAAGCTTTTTGCTGGCCAAGAGCGTCCGTTAATTACTAAAACTATGAAATTTTCAGTAGCAGATTACGCAAAATCAGAATTAAGAAGACATGATCGCCGTTGTGCTGAAAATATTCCTTATCTTTTTTTTACATTTAAACGAAAGCAATGGAATGAGGCTATAAGTGCTACAAATATTTTTAAAAGAAAAATAAAAGGACAAGCGGAATGGTCAGTTAATGATGCGTTGGACAGCACAAAAGTTAATAAAGCTATTGCATCAGACAAGGCATTTAAAAGCATGTCCAAACTTAGGACAAGTCCTTCTTATTGGGAACAAAAGCGTGACGAAACCATAGCAATGATAAGACAACTTGGATTGCCAACTTTATTTTTCACTTTATCCGCAGCCGAATCATCTTGGGATGAACTACTTGTAATTTTAAGTAAAGTTTTAAATAATATGTCAATAACATTAGAAGAAGCAAATAATCTTCAAAGAGACGAAAAGTTATCATTAATAAGACGTGATCCTGTGACGTCAAGCAGATATTTTGAACACAGATATCGAAATTTTTCAATCTAATTATAAAACCTGGAGTAGCATTTGGAAATAAACGTGTTATCGAAAGTTATTATAGAGTTGAATTTCAACATAGAGGTTCGCCGCATATACACGGTCTTCTTTGGCTATCTGATGCACCAAAATATGACAAAAATAATGATAAAAGCAATGATGATGTTATTAATTTTATTGATGAAATCACATCAACATCTACAACAGCTTATTACGAAACGGATGATGAAGAAGATACACAATGCGTTGATGAGGATACAACAAATCTCATTAATACGGTGCAAATACATCGACATAAAGATAATTGTCTTAAAGTAAAGAACACGTGTCGTTATCGATTTCCTATGCCGCCAATGGATGAAACAAAAATATTAAAACCATTGGATGAAAATGTTTTAGATAAAGACCAAAAAAAACATAAAGACAACTGTAGTTCTATTCAAAAATTAATACAATCATTTGATGAAAAAGAAAACAAAAATATAATTAACTATATGTCTTTTGACGATTTTCTTAAAATGACCAAATTGTCATATACCGATTACATTGATGCCATCAGATCTTCAATCAAACGCGAAGAAATATTTTTAAGACGTTTACCTAATGCAGTCAATATCAACGCATATAATCAAATTTGGCTTAAATTATGGAGGGCTAATATAGATATACAATATTGTCTACATCCATATGCTTGTGTTAAATATTTATGTGCCTATATAAGTAAATCTATGCGTGGGATGTCGTTGTTATTAAAGCAAGCATCAGAAGAAGCAAAGAAAGGTAATAAAACAATTCAAGAACAAGTACGACATTTAGCCAACACTTTAGTTAATGGAACAGAAATATCAGCTCAAGAAGCGGTATATCACGCTTTAAGTATGGATATTTCTCGAATGTCAAGAGTAACAATGTTTATAAATAATGGCCCACCAAATGAAAGATTTCAAATGTTGAAATCCCGTAAAGATTTAGAAGAAATGCCAGGTGACTCAAAAGATATATCAATTAAGGGTCTTTTAGATCATTATATGGCGAGACCAGTGATAATTGATATAGTTAATAATTTGTGTTTAGCTGAATTTGCTGCGTCATATAATTATTGCAAATCAATATCTTCTAAATTACTCGAATCAAATAAAATTGACTTTGACTTCGACGATGAAGAAACTAACGATGAAAGCGATATAAAAACTTCATTACCAAACATTATAATTCTTCAAAATAATATGGGATTTATGAAAAAAAGACAAAAAATGAAAATCATTCGCTACAAAAAATATAATAAACAAAATGATTCGAATAATTATTATCGTTCAATGGTAATGTTGTTTTTTCCTTGGATTGATGAAGAAAAAGATCTTAAAGATGACAAATGCAAAGATTTATATGAATCTAATATCGATACAATTAAAGCAAATTTGAAACTATTTGATCCACAATTATTAGAAACTGAATTATTCAACGTCATTAATGCTAATGATAAAGAAAACGATGCAAACGATATAAATGAAAATTCTAATGATGAAATTTCAAAAGATCATGAAATTTTAAATATTAGATCACCTATTGCTAATATTTTTGATGAAACAGACGAATCAAAAGAAAGCACATCCAAATCTTATATTGATAAAATCACTGTTCCAAAAATAATAGATGAAGATGAGTATAGAAAAATGATGAGATCATTAAATATTGAGCAACGCAACATTACAATGGATATTCTACATCGATTTAAAACAGGCAAAACGCCATTTAATATAATATTAATGGGATCTGCTGGTGTTGGTAAAAGTCATGTGCTTAAATGCATTTATCAGTCAATAATTCGCTTTATAAACACAATACAAGGAACAGATTTGGATTCAATCAAAATATTGATAACTGCATACACAGGAAAAGCAGCATGGAATGTTGATGGAATAACATTACATGCAGCATTAGCTTTTCCACATCAGCAAATATCTGGTGGAAATTTGAATAAATTGTCTGCCGATACTTCAAATACAATGCGCTGTAAATTAAAAGATTTAAAACTATTAGTTATAGACGAAATAAGTCTTTGCAGTAATAAAATATTTAACTGGATCGACAAAAGACTAAAAGAAATATTTCAAAATACTTTACCATTCGGTGGAATTTCCATACTATTAATTGGAGATCTTCATCAAGCAAAACCAGTTGGTGGTGGATGGCCATTTAAAGAAGCAAAAGATGGATATAACGCTATAATCGGTCCTTATTTATGGAGAAAATTCAAATCATATGAATTATCAATAGTGATGAGACAAAAAAATGACATTTATTTTGTTGATTGTTTGAATAGACTTGCAAATGCTGCATTAATTGAAAATGACATTAAATTACTTAAGTCTCGATTTAATGTGGACGATTCTTGCAAAAATAAATCAGTTTGTCTATATTATACTAATAATGAAGTTGCATTGCATAATACAAAAGCGATCGAAGATAAAGTGGGTGAATTACTTAGTAATAAAGCTATTGATGACATAAGAGGATACCGGGATATAAATGAGAGACAAAAAATTATTGACAAAATTGAAAAATTGACATATCAGGATACAAATGGCTTAATGAACAATATAAGTTTCAAAATAGGATTAAAATACATGATTACATGTAATGTTGATGTCTCTGATGGTTTATTTAATGGTGCATTTGGGACATTAATGAGAATTGATAAAGACAAATATACATCAAATATCAATACAATATGGTTACAATTTCCTAAAAATTCTGGATTAGAAATTCGCCGAAAGTACATGGAATATATTAAACAAAATTTTATTCCAAACAATTGGACACCAATAGAACCAATAAAAAAAGATTTCCAAATGGGTGGCTTTCTTAATGTTCACGTAACACGTTTACAATTTCCACTTGTGTGTTGTGAATCCATGACAATACATAAAAGTCAAGGATCAACATTTGAACAAGTTATTGTTAATTTAACAAAACATTTACCTCGAGAGTTAATTTATACAGCATGTTCTCGAGTTACATCAATTAATGGATTATACCTGGATGGAGATTTTAAATTAATTGAAAATCTAAAGCCAAGACAAAGTGATATGGAAATTTTCAATGAAATACAAAGATTACAATCAGAAGCAAGACTTCAAATGATAATTAAACCTTTAGAATGCTCAATACGAAAAGATTATGCTATTACTTATTTAAATGTTCAGTCAATCAGAAAAAACATTTTAGATTTACAATATGATGACAACATATTGGCATCTGATTTGTTAATTTTAGTGGAGACACGGTCAAAATGTCAATACAACTTATTACCTAATATTGGACAAATGTCAGCAATAAGTCATGTTTACTCTGAAAATTCTACAATTGCAATTGGAGGCGTTGCAATATATGCTAAAAACTCTAACAACGTATCAGCTATATGCTCATTAATTGATAGCAATGAAAAATCTAATTGGCATTATGAAATCTCTTGTGTCAAATTTAATAATATTGCAGTTGTTGGAGTTTATTTATCATCTCGTCTTCCATTTGATACACTCAAAAGTTTACTAAACAACATTGAAAATAAGACATCTAATTTTGTTCATATAATACTATGTGGCGATTTCAATATAGATTACTGTTCGAAAAACGGACAGACATTACTTAATTTAACTATGAAAACATTTAATTTGAGATCATTAATACCAGAAAATGTCTTTACAACTAATTATCGAAGTCAAATTGATTATATTTTTACAAATAATTGGAATGATAAAATTTATCAATATGACTTTTATGGTAGCTATCATATACCATTTTGGATTGATGTTTCCATTGACGTATCTATAACTGACATAAGTTCTCAATCAAGTGACTCATCAACTAAACAAGAAAATGATTTGATAAAGCCATTAGCAAAACAAAGCAAAATTTCTGAAACAATGTCAGAAATTCTTTTAGATGACATTAAAGAGTCTTCAGTTACAATTACAAAACTATCTCAAGAAACAATTCAAGATTATTTGAAAGTGAAAGATTCAAAAGTATCTGCTAAAAAGTTATCACAAGAAGATATAGAAAAGTACACGCAATTACAAGATCATCAAATTTCAAATATTTGGCTTTCAAAGACATACAACAATTATCTACATGAAGATCTTATAACAAGTGATTTACGATTACTTGATGGATCAGAAAACAATGGATGGCTAAACGATTCTCTAATTACAAATGGAATGGCTGTTATTTTTAACAATCAAGCTAATAATAATAACTTACTTAATTTTCAAACTTCTTATCGTTTTCAACAAAATTATCCATATTTAAAACCTAAGTATTATTTCACTAATGTTGGACAAGAATTACACCAGATTGTTAACACTGGTAACCATTGGATTTACATCAATGTTCAATATACATCATCAACAACAATTACATGTAATGTTTATGATTCGGTTAACACATTAACTGTTAGCGAATTAATTGTACGCGTCGCAAGTGCACATATAAGACAACTCGACATAACACCTCAATTAAAATATCAATTTTGGCGAGTAACAAAACAGCCAAATTCTAATGATTGTGGTGTTTATGCTTTAATGAATATGGCATTAAATATTTCTGGTATTAATCCAAGTTCAATAAGACAAACTGAAAATAGTTTCAATTTGCGTCAAAGATTACAAAGATGGTATGAATCTGGACAAATTTCATTGCCAATTACTCGAAATACCGAAGCAAAATCCAAATACATAACAATACCAACTCTACATTGTTTGTGTTCGAAAACATTTAATAATAATATGATTCGCTGTACACAATGTGGTGAAAGATTTCATCAAAATTGTCAGCAGGATAATAACACAACACAAAGCAATTTTGTTTGCACAAAATGTGTTGAACCAAATCAAGATATTTACGATGTATTGTAAATCATAAATCTATATATAACTATTATATCCTTTTTTAAATATACTTTTGTATTTAATATTTGATGTTTAAAATAAAATTAAAATTTTATATAAATGTGGTTTATTTTTTATAAATGACAATTAATTTGCGAACATAATATTTTATACCGTCAAGTTTTTTTTCTGATAATGCTTTCTAGCATTCTTAACTGGTTTATTATAACTACTTATTTATTAGAGTGAACAATTAACATTTAATAAATTTTTTGAAATAAACATTTTCTATATTTTTTTTGTTTTAATTTAATTATTTTCCTATTATTTAATAAGTTGTAGTATTTACTAAAGTTTTATTAATTTGTTATACAAATACAGAAAACAAATATAATTTATAAATAAATTTATTAATATTAATAAAAATAAACAATTCAATGCCATAGCAATACATAAAAATATAATACAATATAAATTAATATATATACAGTATGTTTTTTATAAATAATTTATAATAATAAAATAAAAATTAACATTTTTATTTCAAAAAAAAACTAAATCTTTATACTCTAACTGTATGTAAACATTATATTTACATTTAATTAAAAATAATAATTTATAGCAAAAATTTTTACAGAGAATATACAGAATATATATATATATATATATATATTGTATATAAACTACACATTATATATTAATATAACAAATGTAATACAGTTATTAAACTATGAAATTAAACTTGGTCGATTTATTAATTCAACTAATGTGTCTAGGTGGTTTTCTATATCAATCATGGCAAATTAGTTCAATATATTTTAGTTACGATACCAATACTAATGTTAAATTTGTAACGGCTATAAATCTACCGGCACTTACACTGTGTACGAAAGATAAAGTAAAATGTTTTAGAGATGTTCACGGACGTCAACTAGCATCGACAACTAGAGATGGTAGCAGCGGGTGGGAGTATGATTATAAAAATGTTACCTACATAAATTATAGAAAATTAAACCAGGCCTATACACTATGGGAACAATTACAATTGATTGTACCATTGAATAACATTATCMWATGTAATGTTATTAAACTAAATGGTGGCGGSGGCGGCAATTCAGACAGTAGTGGCAAACTAGCTTATCAGTCATGTAATAGTTTAGTACCGTATAGGATGGCCATTGGTATTGCAGATATATGCTGGACAATTGGTTCACAGTGGCTGAATGARCCTGATAAATTATATACGTTAGAAKCRGGGACAGTTRACTTATTGGATTATTCGTACAGTTTGTTTATAATGGATACAAATAGATTTGMCAGWAAAACCCTATCGCTTAGTCTACTATCGCCCAGTGAGTTAGTCTATCAAGATTATCAGCCAGGTACACTTAGCTTAAATATGAATAATAGCTTGATAAGTTATATAAGCTATAAGCCTACAACAGTATCMTATAGACAGCTCAATGGTTATGGTGGACGACCATCAAAATGTTCGGATAGGATAACCAACAAACAGTGTCGCCAACAATGTTATATTGATCAATGGATAAATGATAATATGACCTACCCTAATAGTTATCTATGGCAATCATCCATGTACAATGTAACTGATAATATAAGCCAGCTAAAATTCAATAATTTTCATTATACTGATGATCAACTAATTAGTCGATGCGCTAAATATTGTCAGCACGTGGATGAATGTACTAAAWATTATTTYTCAATWAACTATCGACAAGWATTAGATCAATCGTTAACTACAAATTCATTAGTAAATAGTCAACACTTTATCATAATTAAAGCACCGGTAGAACCGGAAACCCAATATGAGCTAACAGTGCGCCTAACGTTTGAAGAGTACATATGTTTTATTGGTTCACTACTTGGTCTGTATTTTGGTTTCTCATTGATTATGTTTACAGAATCTATTKGSAAATTTCTCGGTAAATTTCTAAAATTAAATTTATTACCTACAATTTTAATTTGAAAATGTTAGCTCCTACTACTACTACTAATACTACTACTAATAATAATAATAATAACAAGTTGTTTATAATGTCTAATAAAATAAATAATTTAATTACGACAACAAAAGTCGTCGACAACAATAAATTTATTGGTAAAAAGTCATTGAATTTAAATACAAACATCGGCTGCGAAACCGGAAACCCTATACGAGCTAACAGTGCGCCTAACGTTTGAAGAGCATCTGTGTTTTATTGGTTCACTTTAATTGGTCTGTATTTTGATTATCTGCACAAAATCTATTGGCAAAATTTCTGAGTAAATTTCTAAAAATTAAATTTATTACCTACAATTTTCAGATGACAATGCTAGTTACTACCAGTATTACTAATACTACTACTACTTCTACTACTACTACTACTACTACTACTACTACTACTACTACTACTACTACTACTACTACTACTACTACTACTACTACTACTACTAATTTACATTAAATTAAATTATAATTTGTATAAAAAATAATCAAATTTATGTTTAATTTTTATATTGTTATTTTAACTTGTATTAATTTAAAAAAATTGTAATAAAATAAAAATAACAAAAAAAATAACTAAACTAAATTATTTTATTTACTTAATTTTTTAGTAGTTTATCAACGTTTTATTAATTTATTAAATAAATGTATTAATGAAATTAAATAATTTTATAAATAGATTTAATAATAATAAACTAACAAAACTGTTGTCATAGTAATATATAAAAATACAATATATTTTATTTTTTATAGCTATAATATTTTATTTTGTAATTTAATGTAATTTATCAGGCTGATTTTATAAATCATAATTAAATTAATTCAATTTATTTTATTTATGATACCAATATTAAAAATTTTGACTGTTATTATAAATAGTAATCTAGATTTTTTTTGAAAAAATAATAATAAATAAATAAACTTTAAAAACGTAAAAATAACTAATTGGTCTGAAAGTAAAAACATATTATTTTGTTTTGAATCTTATTTTATAATATTATGGTATTATTTGAAAGCAGAATACAACTGCAATTGATTTAAAAATTTAAAAATTTAAAAATTTGTATTGGTATCCTAACAAACATTTTTAGATATTGATATAGTAAATCAGCCAAGATACATTGCAAGTTAAATTACAAATTAAACTAGGTATTAATAAAATTTAAATTTGTACTAAATGTACTTAAATAAATTTAAAAAAATAAATTTAATTAAAGTTTTTTTTTAATTATTTTAATAAATAAGACATTATCATATGTTCAACACAATTTTTTTACATGTTATTTGTTTTTTTTAAAAACTAATTTAGACTAATCAAACTAATAAAATAATTATAATATTATTTTCTTAATATAAAGTTTAAATAACAATATTAAAAAAAATTATTAATTATTAAAAATAAATTTGATTCTTTATTATAAAATTTATAATTTTATTTAATGTGAATTTATTTTTTTATTAGACATTGTAAATAACATATTATTAATATTAGTAGTAGTATTAGTAGTAGGAGCTAGAATTGTCAGCTGAAAATTGTTGGTAATAAATTTAATTTTTAGTAATTTACCCAGAAATTTGCCAATAGATTTTGTACACATAATCAATGAGAAACCAAAATACAGGCCAAGTAGTGAACCAATAAAACATACGTACTCTTCAAACGTTAGGCGCACTGTTAGCTCGTATTGGGTTTCCGGTTCTACCGGTGCTTGAATTAAAATCAAATGTTGACTATTCATCGATGATTTAGTAGTTATCAATGGATCTGATTCTTGTCTATAGTTTATTGAGAAATAATTTTTAATACATTCATCCAATTGTTTACAATGTTTAGCGCATCGACTAATTAGTTTATCATCATTATAGTGTAACTTATTGAATTTTAGCTGGCTTATATTTGTTAATTTATACATGGACGTTTGCCATAGATAACGATTAGGATATGTCTGATTATCCTGAATCCATTCATCAATATAACATTGTTGCTGACACTGTTTGTTGGTCATCCTATCCGAACATTTTGATGGTCGTCCACCATAACCATTGAGCTGCCTGTAGGACACTGTTGTACGCTTATAGCTTATATAGCTTATCCAATTATTATTCATATTTAATTTAAATGTACCTGCTTGATTATAATCTAGATAGACTAGCTTACTGTTTGAGTGTATGCTAAATGTTAGCATTTTACTGGAAAATCTAGTTTTATTTAGTATTAATAGACTGTATAGAACATCCAAGTCAACTGTCCCCGATTCTAACGTATATAATCTATCCGGTTCATTTAGCCACTGTGAGCCTAGTGTCCAGCATAACTGTACACTGCCAATGGCCATCCTATAGGGTACTAAACGATTACATGGTTGATATTTTTGTAAACTGACTCTGTTAACTTTTCTAACATTACAACGACAAACTGTATCTAATGGTTCGATTAATTGCAGTTGTTCCCACAATGTAAATACCTGGTTTAATTTCTGATAATTTATGTAGGTAACATTTTTATAACCACCGCCACCACCTCTACCATTGCTACCGCTACCATCTCTAATTGCCAATGTTTCCAATAGGCTTTTAAATTTGTAATGTTGTTGGTGAACATCTCTAAACATTATCCTTTTATTATCCGTACACAGTGTTAGTGCCGGTAATTTTGTTGCCGTTTCAAATTTAACATTAGTATTTGAATCGTAGCTAAAATATATGCAACTAATTTTCCATGATTGATATAGAAAACCACCTAGACACATTAGTTGAATAATTAAATTACAAATGTTTAGTTTCATAGTTACTGTATATATTGTTTATATATATATATATATATATACTTAATAGTTTATATACTGTATTAAGTTATAATATTTGTTTTATTTTTAGTTATAATTTGTTACACATTTTAATCATAAAAAAATTATTTGTTGACATTAAATATAATGAATATTGTTATTTTTGTTGTGTAAATATTAAATGTAAATGTTATATATATATATAATTTATACAATAAATAAATTAATAAAATTAT